GTTCGCCCGTTGTGCGCGCGCGTTTATGGAACTGGGGGGGAAGGGAGGGAGGGGGGACGCGTTGCCGTGGGGTTGGTTGGTTGGCAAGGCGCGCGTGGAAGGCGGGCTGGCAATGCTGCCCTGCCAGGGTGGGGGGTGGAGGTCTGGGGGGGGTGTTAGGGAACCAGCCTGGGGAGAGGGAAGAACCCTTGGAGGGGGGGGGGAAGGATGCCGGCCCCACTTCCCAGCACATGGCTGGGAGCCCTGCAAGGGGTGGCCCCTCCGGAGGGACACCCCCTCCACAGAGTGTCCTGGGCTACTCTGGCCAGCTCAGTGGGGAGGGGGGGCACGAAGGGGCATCCCTTGGCGCTGAGCCGGTGTTTGAGACTGTGGGTCGCGCCTCCAGCACCTCAGGGTGCCAAACCAGTGCACCCCTGAGTTCCCCCCCTCCCCATGGGGATGGAGAAAGGGTACCTGCTGAGAAGGAGGGGGAGGCGGAAACAGCTCCCCCCCCCACGACCAGAAAGGGCTTCCTTGGGTTGAGTCACCACCAACCAACCCCCCCCCGTTGCTAATATGTGGGTCTCCCCTCCCCTCAGTGGCAACACCCTCCTCCCTGGGGCAGCCTCCTGGATCCCCTCTAAGCTGCCTCTTCTTCCCGGGGCGACGCCGGCCAAGCCCCCTCCTCCGAAGCTCCTGGTCAGGTTCGGGGGGGGGAGGTTCCGAAGAACCGCTTCCTGTTCTGGTCTGGCTCCTCTAGAGTAGACCCAGGCAGAACTCCCAGGCAGAGCAGGAGAGGCTGACCCCCCTCTCCCCGGCCTGCCACCCCCCACCCAGGGAGTGCTCACAAGACCCACTGGTGTGGGCAGGGTAGAGGAAACCCCCCCTCGGGGAGGGACAAACAGGAGGAGGTCTGTGTTGCGGCCACTGGCCTCTCTCAGGGGCCTTCCATTTCCCACCACCACCACCACCCCACGTCCAGCCCAGCCCCAGTGATCAGGCAGGGCCAGGGCAGGGCAGAGGGGCCGACTGGCGGTGGCGGGGAGCAAGAGTGGAGGGATCCCTGGCAAGGCTGGCAGGCCGCCTTCCTGGGGGTGGCAGAGAAAGACAGATGGCGCCCAGGCTCCTGCTGGCTGGTGGTTCGATTCCCTC